TAAGCGTTGATTCAACGTTATATTTCAACCTTTACTCGAAGTCTTTGAGTCACGTTAAATCGACGTTTTATTGCCAACGTTACAAATCCTTGCAAAATCGACTGCTTTAACAACGTTACAGTAACACTTTTTAAGTAACGTTTTTTCAACGTTAAATTGCGACGCTTATTCAACGCTTTTTAAGTAACACTTTTTCAACGTTTATTTGCGACATTTTTGTAACGTCTTTTAGCAACGTTTTTTCAACGTTACGCTACAACGTTTAATCAACGACTCTTTAACAACGTTACATATCTTTGCAAAATCGATTACTTTGTCAACGTTTCCGCAACATCTTTTGCGACCGGTTTTCAACGTTGGTTCAACGCTGACATGTTTGCTGGGTATATATATATATATATATATATATATATATATATATATATATATATATATATATATATATATATATATATATATATATATATATATATATATATATATATATATATATATATATATATATAGTATGTAAAAAAAATTATCGTGCACTTGAAAAAAAATCTCAATTTTAAAGATTGCATTATTAGAATAAAATATTTGAAATTTTTTTTTAGATATCTTAGCAAGTTTTGTTTTAAGAATTTATTTGTGTATTGGTGAGTTAACTGCTTTTCATACCTATTAAATTTTACACAATTGATCTAATGATGCATATAAATGACTGCAAAAAAAAAAAAAATCGTACAGTTCAAAAATAATGTCAAATTGATCAAACTTCATGAAATTTAGTATCGAGTGGGGCATCCTTTGGCCTTGATGGTCTCAGCCAGACGATTTGGCATTGAGTTGACTAAATTTTGGGTCTCTTTTGTTGTTATGTTATCCCATGCGCTCATTATAGCTTCTTTTAAGTCGTCTTTTTATCTAAATGCTCGGTCACCAATTTTTCTGTCCAAAATATTCCACAAATTTTCTATAGGATTCAAGTCCGGACTTTGAGATGGCCATTCCATAACATTGATGTTATATGTGTCAAAGTATACCTTTGTTTTCTTAGCAGTATGTTTTGGATTGTTATCCTGCTGCAGTATAAAATCATTTCCTATTCTCAATTTTGTAGTAGATGGTCGCAAGTTGGCTTTAAGAATTTCACAATACAATGAAGCATCCATTTTTTAATCAATAATTGTCGAGTTCCCTACCCCTTTCCAACTCATACTACCCCAAACCATCACATTTCCTCCTCCATGCTTTACCCTACCTCGCAAACAACTTAATTTATAAGCTTCTTCTTTTTTTCACCACACTTTTTGAACTCCATCCGATGAGACATGGTTGTATTTGGACTCATCCGACCACAAAATTTTTTTCCAATAAGATATCGGCATTTTTTCGTACTTCTTTGCAAACTCTAATCGACATTTCATTTGTTTTGAAGTTAAAAAAAGTTTTTTTTGAACTACTCTACCTCTATATCGTTGTTCTCTAATACAATTTCTAATTGTTTGAGGGGTTACTGTGATATTGTGATCTTCTTGAACTTTTAAAGCTAATTTAGCTGCCGAAACAAATCTATTTTTCTTCACATTAATGATGATATTGCAATCAATTGCACTAGTGGTCTTGCGTTTTCGTCCTCTGCCAGCCACACTAGCAACAGTTCCAATCAGATTATGCTTCTAAACAATTGAGGACACTGTCGTAAAAGGAATTCCTGTTTCTTTTTGGATGTGACGGTAGGATTTTCCTTGATTTTTTAAATCAACTACGAGGCTTCCTTGATGGAAAGACAAATGTTGTTTTCTTGACGCCATTTTGCTGAAACACTATATTTTATTTCTAGAACATAAATGTATTTAAAAAATTACTATTTTTAATTTTACTAACTAGTTTAATCGTTCAATTTGCTCAATTTATGCTAAAATAACAACATATTTTGTCAGCGTACGATTATTTTTTTTGCAGTCAATTATATGCATCATTAGATCAATTGTGTAAAATTCAATAAGTATGAAAAGCAATTAACTCGCCAATACACAAATAAATTCTTAAAACAAAACTTGATAGGATATCTAAAAAAACTTTTCAAATATTTTAACGAAAAACTAATTTTTCTGATGCAATCTTTAAAAATACGATTTTTTTACAAGTGTACGATTATTTTTTTTTGCATACTGTATATATATATATATATATATATATATATATATATATATATATATATATATATATATATATATATATATATATATACAGTATGCAAAAAAAATAATCGTACACTTGTAAAAAAATCGTAATTTTAAAGATTGCATCCGAAAAATTAGTTTGTGTGTATATATATATATATATATATATATATATATATATATATATATATACACACACACACACACACACACACACACACACACACACACACACACACATAAACAGTAAACTCCCGGTTATTCGAACCTCCAAAGGGTAAAAGAATTTAGTTCGAATAACTGAAAATGATCTTTAAAGTGACCTATTTTAAGTTACTTTCAAATATTAATAATAGTAGAAAGTAAAAAAAAAGACCTTTGGAATGAGATGCTTCTTTAATTTTTTCTTTGTAAAACAATAAATATTTTACAATTTATTGAAAAAATTGCCCATTTTTCTTTTCTTTTTTCTTTAAATGTGTTTTGTTTATCCTCAAGGTGAGAAAAACATTGTTTCCAATAACTGCAGGTTATATAAATATATATTTATTCTCGACATGTTTTATAAAATTTATTTACATTTTCAAAAGATTATTTTACAATAATAAAACTCTGAAATAAATTAAAATAGAAGTCTTTACAGAAAAATAATAAACAAAAATTTAAATTATAAACCAAAATATTTTTTACAAAATAACTAACTCAAAAAAAAGAAAAATATATAAATAATAATAAACTGACAGTAAAATTAAATAGTTAAGTTTATAGCATAATGTGGAGGATTTATTTTATTTTTAATTTGTGTTTTGTTGGGGCATTATCCAAAATATCAAAAGAATCATAGTTAGCCAGATTTCTGAAATTAATAGATAAATTTAAGTGTTTAAATATATGAGATTGTTTATCACTTTTAAGGTGCTCATTTATTCTAGTCTGGAGAGACCTCCAGATGTTTGGCAGACATTTTTTCAGAGTTTTATAATTATAAAATAATCTTTTGAAAATGTAAATAAATTTTACAAAACATTAGTAATTGACCAGGGCCTTGGCCCCAGCTAAAAATTAGACTTTTTGCAAACCCGGCCCCGCCAAAATTATAAGATTTAGTATTTAAAAATTTATAATGCTTAATATATTATAATTTTATGCTTGCATTTACTATTTAATAAATACTGTCATATATTTATATATTTTAAAATCTAATTTACTTTCAACAAGATTGCAAGCAACCACTATTAAGTAATGAGTTACTTTCAAATAAAGAACCAATTAAAATACTAGGAAACCTATAACTAAAAACATAAAAGGTGTAAGTTTTATAAAAAAGGAAAATATGAAGTTTTGTAACAGTTATAAAATTTTTATGATGTTCAAGGAAAAAAATCGAATTATTTATCATGCTGTAAAAAGATTTTATAGCATGAAGGAACAAATGCAGTGAAAGGATGCAACTTGTTGAATAAATGGCCAATTGAGAATGAGTTTTGGTTTATCGTTATAGAGATGAGAGTTTGTTTGAGCATTAACTATGATTGTATTTGTAGAAAAAAGAAAGAAATGCAACCTTATAACAACGGGAGAGTGGCTCAACCTTGGCAGATAAAGCTGATCTTATTACATTTACTCTAAAATATAAATTGGAAGGCAGGTCATCAATTAAAAAAAAAATTGGACCTCAAACCGTCTTAAGCAATGAAGAGGAAATAGTTATTGATAACTGGGTCCTAAAAATGGCCGAAGCAGGATTTCTCTGTAACTGTAAAACAACTTCAAGATTGTGTACAATGGTTCGCGTCTGACCTTAGTAGAGACAATCTTTTTACTAAAAATTGACCTGGGAGGACATGGATTGACGGATTTTTAAGAAGAACTAAAAGTATATCTAAACGTTTAAGCCAAAACTTAACAGTTTTCTTTGCATCAGTGACATAGCTAAATGTTTTACGGTGGTTCGCAGAAGTTAAGGAATACTGATCATCTAAAAAAAAAAGTTTTTTTTTAGATGATCAGTTACTAACGCAAAACCATGCTTTAAAAAAACAGTTACTAAAACATGAAAAAACTGTACTTTGTAAAAAATTGCTTAGCAGTATGCTAGAAGATAGTATAGTAAGTTATCAGAACTATCAAGACCATTTAATTGGCAAACAATTTTAAAGATATGGCAGTCAAATTTAATCACATATTTTATTATTATTATTAATTTAATTTTACAAGTTTTTGGCCTTTTATGACCAAAATAATAAATAGAAATAGAAATTTTTATGTAAAAACCGCTTTATAATATTTCTGCTAGTACCATTGAAGTCACTTTAAAATTTATTTTGGAATTTTTCATTAATATCTCGCGGTCTCTTATAGACACAAGGCGAGCCACTGCCCCGAAATTACTTTTTCTTATAATTATTCAAAAAAGAATTATTTTTTTTTAACTTCTAAAAACTAAATAGAAAACAAAATAAAAAAGAAAAAAATTTTGATAAGTGAAATGTTTTTTTTTGGAAAAATGATTTTTTAATGGTTTTCTTTTGGGCCTTTATAAATCGAACCAGGCGTCAGTATTTTTTTATTACCAACAGTTTCGGAACGGCAACATTTTGATTAACTAGAAAAACAAAAAAACTATCAATTTTGCTCAATATGTGAATTCATGATGTTGTGCACACTACAGATAAGATAAAAATTTTGGGATCTATTTGGGTATGTTTCCACATTCAAACATGACACTAGATAAAGCATGATGGGGAAAGGAGGGTAAAAATTAAAGTTAAGAGCAAATTTTTGGTTAATATGTTCTTTTTTTTAAATTTTCGATTAAAAAAATAAACTTACTAAAATTAAGTTTAGCAATAGCATCTTCCACTTTTTCTATGGCAAATTTGAAGTATCTCGGAGTTGATTTAAACTTTCTAAGTTTTTTTTAAATGATTAAGGTGGCTTAAGAAAAAAATACTCATTTAAAAAAAAAAAGTATTTTTTTTTTTAATAAACCATTCGCTGCAAAATTTATCATTCTTTCAGAAAATATGTACATTTTGCATAAAATATTTACTAAGATTACCTCGCTTAATCTTTTTCATTGGTCAGTTTCATTTTTTTGCTAATAATTTATTGGAAAACTTTGTTTTCATAACTTTTTAATTTTATTATTTTTTTGAAACTTCGAAACATGAAATCTCAAAATTAAGAAAAGCTATTTGGATAAAATTTTTAGAGTTTGTTTCTTAATCATTAAGATTTCAGATGTACTAAAACTAAAAATAGTTTTATCATTTTTTATGACACAACACCTGTTTTTTTATGTATAAGTTTGTGATTTTTTTAAATATTGTCCCGTTTTTGATATTTTTTCATTCTTTTAGTAGAAATGAATGATAATAATGTAATAAACAAAAAATTATTGAGTTAATCTATAACCAAAATGTTATTGATTTAGTTATTAATCTATAACCAAAACTAATTTAAATAAGTTATTAATCTATAACCAAAACTAGGTATGTTACATGAAATTTTTAATTTAATCAAGTTCTAGGTTGTTATATATCATTAAAAAGAGCTTCGTTTTAACATTCCAAAAGTAAAAAAATGATCAAAATTGAACCACCCCACAAAAGTTATGATGTTTTAAGTACCGATTTTTTATTATTAGGATTTGTTGAAGAAACTGTGGTCAAAATAAAGTTTTTATGAACTAAAACTATTATAACTTAATCAATTCTTATTCAAAAGTTTATATCTTGGTATCAAAAGATAGATGCAAGAGTTATCTACAAAGGTTTCTAGATTATGGGCGCATCCAGGAGGCAAGAAGGGGGCACAAAACCACCATCATTACCGACAATATAGACTTACTAGATTTATAAAAAAGTGTTTCTTTTAATGAAAATGTAAATTTTTATATGCAAGATGTTTTTGTAATTAGCTATCAGACCATAATCAAATACAGAAGTTTCATCTTTGCCTTTGGGTGGATGTAAGGGTGATGGTTTCAAACACCCTATTATCAAAAATTACATATTTTTTTTAAATAAATATTTATCTTTGTAATTAAAAAAAAAATTAGCGTTCAAACCAAAAATTACATTTTACTACTTTACAACATCACTAGCAGCGCACCCTTTTCTTGAAGCCCCCACCACCACCCCTAGCGCACCCTTTTCTTAAAGCCCCCACCACCACCATTTACAACCTAAAAAAAATATTATATTTCTAATGAGATTTGAAAAAATATTTAAAATGTTATTAAAATAATAAATTTTAATATAAAAACATCTTTTAACAAAATACAAGATACATCACTCAACGTTTTGTAATAGTTAGCGATGGTTCTCCCTATGACTAAAACAAAATTTTAAAAACAAAAAATGTTTTATAATATTATTTTAATTAGTTTGCATCTTGGCTTTTAATTAATGATTAAGATATTAAATTCCATTAATGAAATTATACTTTAATGATTGTTAACAAGAGACACGATGTGACCGTAAGTCAGAGCTGCCTATCAAAAAAAAAATTGCAAGTTCCACAACTCGCTTTATATTTTTGCAAGTTCCGCTATTCGCCTAACTCCCTTACAGTATAAATTTGTGACTTTTATCACAAAAATTGTACCCTGATAATTTAGTTATTTTTTCATTCTTTTAGTGTAAACAAATGATAATAATATAACGAAGCTTTAAACAAAAAGTTATCAAGTTTCAACCAAAATTGAACAAGAAATAGTGATTTATATTTTTTCAAATTTACCCCTTTTTACTTCTCATTTTATTACAATATGCTTTAAATATAATTTATCAATAGTTTTTTAATCAAATTTTCAGTTTTTTATATCATTAAAAATGAAATAAAATGTTTATGAACCGTTGCAATTTCTTCTATTAAAAAGTCTTTTTTTCTATATGGGACACCTTTTAAGATATATTGTAATATACAATTTTTTTTGTTTTTTGTTTTTATTTGTTCTTTTAACTTTACAATGCTGTGATTCTATATGACTGGTACAATGTTATATTTTTTAAAATATATAATACTAAAAATATATCATAATTTTATAGAATACAAAAAATATGATTGCAGAGTATGATTATTATTAAAAGAACGCGGGAAATTTGCATAAGACCAGATGGTCTTGTCATCAAGAAACCGCTTGTGCTTGTAATCTTTTTTGTATTTTCGTTTTACAATGTATCTAGTTTCACAAAATATTTCATTTTATATTGGGTTTACATATAATAAAATGTAAAAATAAATAAGTTGGTAAATGCTGTTTGTAGTACACATAATACACATAAATATATTATAGGCATAAATATAATTATTATTGACTTATATTGATTTTTTATATTAATATATATTATTGAAGTTTTTTGAGATTTTGTTTTCAAATATAATTTTGGTTTTAGTTTCAGTTTTAGTTTAGTGTAAGTTCAAATAATTGTTGATATTTAAAACGAACTTTTTTAGTAAGATTTTCAAACAATTTATGTTATCTAATTTTGTAATTATGACATTTTTGGATATCAGTTTATTATAGAGATAGGGACCGCGATATGAAATTGTGAAACGCGAAAGTTTTGTTTTTCTGAACGGTACATTAAAGTTTCCTACTTCTCTGGTCTCATATCTATTTTTATTGCTTTTAAAGAATTCATTTAAGAAATGTGGTCGGACAAGCCCGAGTTTATATTTTAGCATGAAGAGTAAGTTTTGGTAAATGTTTATTCTATAGACGTTTAGTGCATTTAGGAGTTTAAACAAAGGTTCAACATGAGTGAGTTTATCTTTTTTATAGACAATTCTAATGGCATGTTTTTGATGTTGATAAAGTGATTTTAAATTAGATTTATGGGTACTGGCCCATGCTATATTACCATATGTATAAGAGGTATGTATAAATGAAAAATAAAGATGTTTTAGATTTTCTTGGGATAACGTTGGCCTAGTTTTGTATGGCAAGCCTATGTTTTTGGTTATTTTAGTATTTAAATAGTCAATATGGGCTTTCCATGAAATATTTTCATCAATATGTAAACATAGAAATTGAGTTGTTGTAGTTCTGTCGATATTTTTGTTTTTTATTCTTAGCAATGGCAATATATTTGGTAGTTTTTTCTTTTTTGATTTGGATGGAATAAGATGTAATTAGTATTTTCTGTGTTTAAAGATAATTTATTAGATTTTAGTCAAATATTAGGTTTTTCGAGTTCAATATTTGTTGTTTTAAAAAGTTCTGTAATTGACGGAGATGAATAAAATAAATTAGTACCATATGCAAACATTATGACATCAAGTTTGTTTTAATTTTAATATACATTATATTAAAAACAGTAAGGTGGCTAGAATGGAACCTTGGTGAACGCCACATTTGATCTTTAGCATTTTTGAACAGATATTTCATCAGTATCAACACATTTTTGTCTGTTTAGCAAAAAGTTTTTAAACCAGAGTAATGCAACATTTTTTACGCCATATTTTTCCATTTTTTTGAACAGGATTTCATGATCATCAGTATCGAATGCTTTCGATAGATCAATAAAGATTCCTAGAAGGAATTCATTATTATCAAATGAGTAGTTAATGCAATTTATAAAATCTATGATTGCATATTCGGTTGCATGTTGTTTTTGAAATCTAAATTTTTTTTATATTTAAGATGTTATTGTTTGTTAAATATATGTACAGTTTATTATAAATTATTCGTTCGAGAAGTTTTGAGAATACAGGAAGGATTGAGATTGGTCTATAGTTGTTTAGTAAATATGGTTCTCCAGTTTTATATAATGGTACAATTTTTGAAATTTTTATTTCTCTGGAACGGTTCTTGTTATAAGTGAAGATTTAAATATTTCGAAGAGGGTTTTTTTTTATTATTATTACTTTAACAGAATAATTATTTATTAGCTGTCATGACCCGTACGATACGGCTCGTTGTTAGTCTATTCAACCTCGACTATTACTAAACTTGTTCTTAATTTAGTCTTTAAAATTTAATTTATCTAGTAAACGACAAAAATAATATAAATTTAAAGTTCTGGTAGTAGGTAAAATGCAAATTTTTTGTAAACCATAGAGCTATTAATTGTTAAGTTATAATTAATTAAGCACACTGTCTAATTTAAATAAAATATATCGAATACCATTATATTTAATTTATAAAATTGATGAGCAAATGTTTTAAATATCATAACATTTGTGGTCATTAAAATGTCTTGGTTCGCCAAAAAGTTTGCCGTTTGCATATAACTGACTACCTAAAGTTCTTGCCTCTTGGTTAGATAACTTATTTAAACTTATTTATGGTATATTTACTTATTACTTTAGTATTTTCTACATAATGAAAGTATTTTAAGCATATAAAACAGTTACGTAACATCTCTTTTGGTGTTTATGGAAACTTAGGCTATGATAATATTTTAACTCTCTCATAAGGATTTATTTAAAAAGCAAATTTACTCAATCTTAAAAGAGACCAAGAAATTAGCTTGTTAGAGAATGCTAGAGTTATTGGCAGTAATCCACAAATAAAGACTCAAATGAAATTTTAAAATTAATTTAAGTTAAGTTTTTTTGAGTGATCCAGAGTTTATTGTTCATATTTTAACTACTAACAGCACACACATAGACACACTAACAAAATATAAACACATAGAGCCTTATATAACACATAATAAAAACATACATACCACGTCATATGACACATAAAAATACTTGTATATATATATCTAAATATATATATATATATATATATATATATATATATATATATATATATATATATATATATATATATATATATATATATATATATATATATATATATATATATATATATATACATAAAAATTAAAATTACAATAAAAACAATCAATCATTGCAAGAATAAATAAATGTTTAAATACTAATAAGCAATAACTCCATGAATAAGATACATATTAATAAATAAATAACAAATATAAAATGATTATTTAAATGTTAATAAATTTTCGTGACAATTAAAAGATTACAAATACCGAAGTTTAAAAAGTAAAAAATAAAAAACTACTAAATTGTACAACATTAATTAATAATACTCATCAATTCAAGAATTGTTTTGTTTCGAAAATAGATTTCCATAGCCATACGCAACGAGGTCAAACGAAAACGGTAATAAAGTAAATGTCAGGAATGCAAAGATTACAGTTTTTATATAATCTTTTTTAAATACATCTTTTTAAATACAAACTTCAGTAGAATTTTAACAAAAAAAATATTCAGAGTATCCACTTTACTCTTTGTATCCATGAATCGCTTTTCAGCTTTCGGAAAAACAGTCCTTCGGCGTTTCCTAAACATATAGAAAAACCACAAAAATACAAGAGTACTCGATTACGCACAGGAACGAATTTATAAATATTATCATAAATAATATTATTTATCGTAATATTTTTACCTAACCATTGATATGGCCCAAGAGTATAAATTTGTTCATTATCGCCTTCTAAATTTTTTACAAAAATTGAATTGAGTTGGTTAAAAACGTTGTTTAAAAATTGCTGATTTGATATTGACAACCATTTCTTGTTGTAATTATGAAATATCAAATACATTTTTCTATTTCGATGAACGGCGTAAAGTTGTTTTGTTACCGAGTGACGACCGAGAACGGAGCCAACCTGAACATCTATGGCTAAAAAAATCGAGTATAGGTGGAGGAAAAAAATTGAAATTTCCAGTAAAATATTTTTCAATAAGATTGTAATCCTTGATAAAAATCTCGTTATCATTTTAATTTCAAATAATATAACAGGGTTCCCACTATTGAAACTGATTTAAGGATATATTTTCCTAATATTTGAAGAGATTTGGCCGCGAACGACAATTTTTTGAAAGAAAAAGTAAGGAGAATTAAAGAGAAAACGATTACATTAAAAACAGAGACTTACTTTTTTCAATAAATTTTTAATATAAACAGAGAAATTATTATAAATTAATACATTACTTTATATATATAAATATATATAAATACACACACACACACACATATATATATATATATATATATATACATAAAATAAAAATATAGGTTTGCAAACTATCAAAGAACTATATATTTTTTTCTTTATTAATAAGTTTAACACAGGTCAACAATTTATTTTTTCTAAAATCTCTATAAAATACGCTTCTTTAAAGACCCAGCTTGACATACTTGAATAATTTTATTTTTGATATTAGGGATTTTATCCCAAATACTCAAATATCTTAACAACTTGACGTGATGGTGAAAAATGAGTTGCATACTTGAAATCAAAATGTGAAATGCTATACAAAAAAAAAATTGTATGCTCATCACCAGAAATTTTTTTTTCTTTTATGACCTGTGTAATCCATTCAATATAATTATATTTGCCAAATGATTAAAATAAATAAAAAAAAATATGAAGAAGTTAAGGAGAACAGTCAAAATTTAAATTTTTAAAAGGCTATTTGTGGACATTTAAGAAGGTTTTTATTTTTTAAGGATGTTTAAGGAGGATTAGGAACCCTGTATAAAGATAACACGATTTGATTATGCAGTGGCGTAGCTAGGATTTTTGGGCCCTGAGGCAAAAACCAGTGCAAGGGCCCCCCAACTAAAATATTTCCAAAATAATTTTATAGGCATAATACAAAAATTTTGCTTCAAAAAATATATTTATAAAATACTAAATAAAATGTAAACTTCAGTAAATAAAGAGAGAAAAGGTATACCATATGCAATATTAAATATAAAACATTTTATAACCAACTCTCAAACGAAGAAATAATGAATCTCATATGTTTTAATTATTAAAAATTTGGTTTTATTTTTCTTCCATAATTCGAGCACCGCACAGGCTTCGATGTGATGTTGGGATGAACTGCGCATTTTTATCTTTTGTGATAAATTTTTCTAATCCTATATCCCCGATTGCCATTGACTTTTGGTGTTTGAAAAAAGCCAACAAGGTTGACAGTATACTGCATCCAACACACTTGAATAACAAATCCATAATCGTGGAACTGGGCCATATTTTGATGTAGAATAATAGTAAGTTTCACTGAAACTTCTGTTCTGTTGACTAGGATCTTTGGAAAATGGTCCTTTAGGTCTGTGACCAGGAATGCTTATCAGTAATCTTTTGGTTTCATCAGAAATGTTCTGATTTAAATATTTTCCTAGGTCACTACATATAGTGGTATTTGTATAAATGATATTTTTTTCATTAATACTTGTTAAAACTTCCTGAGCATCTTCAGTGTCAACTAATTTATCTGAAATTTTTTTAATTTCTCCATCGCTACAGTCAGCTTTATTTGATTTACAAGCAATCACTTCTGTATAACCTTTCTCTAAAATATTTAACTCATCATAACATTCACATTCGATCGATGCATCATCTGGAGTACTCTCTTGGTTATTATTATTATTTTTGATAATAAACTTGTCTAGCTTTGGTAATTTATTTAATGCTTCTTCTTTTTGTTTTTTAAGTTTTCTTTTTTGAAACCCACTTTTACTCTTTAATAGTTCCATGTTTTCTTATAACATGGAAATGATCAGGATAAATTGTACAATTTTAAACTCCCTAAACAGAAAGCACTATATGGTTATTACAATGCTTCAGATAATCTAAAGAAGAAAAACGGAAAACGTAAATTTTTTAAGAGAAAGGGAGATATAAAAGAAAAGAAACAATGAATAGAAATTTTCTATTTTTCTATTAGAAAAATACAATGGATATTTAAAGAATGTTAAAAGCCTCAGCAACTGTTACGAATACATATTTTTGACGCTACACGTGCATGTTAATGTTAGCATTTCTAAACTGTTACTAACGGTCCGGAAAAAACGCGCGTTAACTTTAAAATCAACCAATGAAAACACTGGTAATTTACATATTAGGAGAAATCTAAATAAAAAGGGGAGGGGAGGATTAATTAACTGAAAGATTTCTATAAAGTAAAAAATTAGAATTGAAATCTAGATAAAATATTCAAATTGTTTATATAAAATTAAAAAATAAAAGCGGCTGTGTGCTGTGGCCAAAGCTAAAAGGGCCCCTTTCAACTCTTGGGCCCTGAGGCATTGCCTTACTTTGCTATATGGTAGCTACGCCACTGTGATTATGGATTTATCTTTTTTTCAAATAAACATTTTGAAATAGGAATTTCTTTTAAAGTTAAATAAAAGCATCAGTTTATGGTCGTAATATTTTTTTTTCTATAAACAAATTTTAAAAATGTTCAGCCAATTAATTTTGCTTTTCCACGCTTTCAAACAAATATTTCGGTTGGTGAATACTCGCTTTGAAAACTTTAGTTTACATATAAACAACTTTCAACACAAAAAGTCAAATTTAAAACTTCACAAAAGGAGTTTTTAGGAAGTAAAGGCTTTTTTGAAAATGTTAATAGTTGTCGAAGCGAAGTTTTGATAATTTATCTTTATATTCCAAAGAGCATTTACTTTTCAAAGTTACGCTCTAAATGTCTCTTTATGTCTTCTAAACTATTTAATGTAAATAATGTAGTTATTTACATTAAACTGTATTGAAGTAGGTCAAAAAACGTTTGAAAGACATTTAGAACGTAACTTTTAAAAACCAACGCTCGTAGAGATATATCTTTAAAAAAATTCCGATTCCTGATTTGCATGTTTCTTGCTGCATAATGCAATACATAATTAAAAATGAAATAACTATAAATAAAAATAAAAAATAATATAATAATAAATAATAATTGGTTTTTTTGGAATTATAGCTAGAACTTGATTAGTTTTGTAAAATATTTTTGCGACAAATATTTAAAAAAAAGAGTTTTGCTGATTTGATTTAAAAATTAAAAAAAAAATCTAATCAAGGAAAAACACTTATCCAATTCATTTAATTCTTCATGATCATCCTGCTACTGGTAACATGTAACCCAGTGCAACCTGTTCCATGTTCTGCTGCCTTGCAGGATTTGCTATCTAAGCAAAGGCTGGAAGGAGTGATCTACCTGTCATCAGTACTATCTTATATCAGTCATGCCTATAGTAATTTTTTTTTTTTTTTTTTTTCCTAAATATAGTTGGAGGTGCCTTAGTTACTGTATTAGCTCACCTGTAATCTACGTTATATGTATGTTTGTGTTATGTCTGAACCTCTAGCGCGGTGTTCGCTCACCCGTAAGTTACTTTATGTTCTTTATGTATGTCTGTGTTCTGTCTGAACCTCTGGCGCGGTGTTCGCTCACCCGTAAGTTACTTTATGTTTTTTATGTATGTTTGTGTTCTGTCTGAACCTCTGGCGCGGTGTTGACTCACCCGAAAGTTGATTTATGTCTATGTTTGTTTGTGCTCTGTTTATACTCTAATGCAGCGTGAGCTCAGTAACTAACTACTTACTCCAACTACAAAACGTACACTCACCTTAGACTCCTGTATTTTGTTAGATGCAGTGTTTTTCCTAATGCACTTCCGAAATGTCATGCCTGGTTTTCTCAAAGTACTGTTGCGGTAAGTAACTCCTTTTAACTACTCCAGGTCAGGTCAGGATAATCGAGATCAATCTTGCTACTGGTATCACGTAACCCAGTACCACCTGCCACAAGCCCTGCTGCCTTGCAGAGTGTGCTCTTCTTATGCAAAGGCTAGGAGAAATAAACTCTAACTAAAAATTCTAGTAAAGGCTAGAGATGGTGTCTCGATAAAAACACTCATCTTGGGCAAATGTTAACTGCATCCAGCTAAACATCCCCTGCCTTGGGGCTCTTGGTTGAGTAAAGGCTAGATATGGTGTCTCGATAAAAATACTCATCTTGGGCAGATGTTAACTGCATCCAGCTAAACATCCCCTGCCTTGGGGCTCTTCGTTGAGTAAAGGCTAGAGATGGTGTCTCGATAAAAATACTCATCTTGGGCAGATGTTAACTGCATCCTGCTACTGTCTTGTAGAAGGCCTCCTAGGCAAAGACTTTAGGGGTAAGCAGAAAAATTCTGCTAACCAGCCTCGAACCCCTTCTTCATCTATTAGGCTGGCGTAGATGTAATCTGTGTTACATTGTTTCCTGCTTAGGATGATGAATGCTGGATCTCCTTGACTCTACTCATAGAATTTTGCTTATGCCTCCTTGATAATGGCTAAGCAACTCTTCCTGTTATCTCCATATGAGGGTACAGCTCTAAAACTCAGTTTAATGGTTCTGAGGCCGGCTGGTAGTAAGGTTTCCCGAACTCTGTGGTAGCTCTCAGAGAGGCTGATTCCATCAACAGCTGCAAAATATCAGAGTATTAACAGTGCCATGTTGCGCATGGATGGTGTCCCTGTTAATGCTTTTGGTGTGCATTGTCAAGGCCACATAAGGAGCCCTATGTGACGGCTTAGGGTTAATTAACAGGACTGAGACAACTGCATAGCTCATTGATTAGGAGGCTGTGCTCTATCTATGAATGAGTCAAGTTCTCATTAAACCCAAATCATGACCAAAGTAAGCAAAAATTTAAAACCTAAAAAACCATCCCCACCACCTAAATATTTTAATATATCTTTTACAAATATTCGCGATCTACGAAGCAACTTTCCATCAGTTGAGTCTTACCTCCTGCAAAATTTACCAGACTTGCTTGCACTCAGTGAAACAAATTTAAGTTCTGCAATTCCTTCTTCAGATGTCAGTGTTGATGAGTACTATCCTTTGATTCGTAAAGACTCCAATAGTCACATGCTAGGTTTAGGGGTTTACATACGCATTAATTCCCGTATTTGTCGTGAAATCAGGTTCGAATCCTTTGACCATTCTTTTATGTGCTTTCGCCTAGCACCTCTTCACTCTATCACCTTTCTCTTTGTTCTTTATCGTTCTCCTTCTTCCCATGATTGCACTCTTTTAGATGTTATCTCTGATCAAATTGACCATGCCCTCTCTCTTTACCCCTCTGCCAATATTGTTGTTGTTGGTGATTTTAATGCCCATCACACTGAATGGCTTGGCTCTAACACCACTGATCCTGCTGGCACTAAAGCCTTTAACTTCTGCGTTTCTCAATCTCTTACTCAGATAGTTAACTTTGTGACTCGTTTTCCTGACAACCCTAATCATTTACCTTCACTCCTTGACTTATGTCTTGTCTCTGACCCTAGCTTATGTTCAGTTTCTCCCTTTTCTCCCTTAGGTGGTTCTGACCACGCAATGATCTCTGTAAATCTTTCTTCTCGTACTTCTTTTTTGGGCTCACCTTATCATCGCACCATCTACTACTACCCTAAAGCTGACTGGGATTCCTTTTGTGATTTTCTTCGTGATGGTCCTTGGGCTGATGTTTTTTCTCTCTCAGCTGACAAATGCGCCTCCTACGTAACCTCCTGGATTCAGGCTGGAATGGAAGCTTTTATTCCTTCTCGTCGGTTTCAAGTCAAGCCTCATTCTACTCCATGGTTTTCTCCTTCTTGTGCGGCTGCTATATCCAATCGTAACCATTTTTTTCATCTTTTTCAAAAGAACAACTCTCTTGAGAACAAACGGCTATTTATTATTGCAAGAAATCGATATAAAAAGGTGCTTTCTGATGCTAAACTCCATTATTCTCAGTTCACTAAATCTCGCATCTTATCGCAGAAGTTAGGCTCTAAAGACTTTTGGAAAATCTTCAACAACATTGTTAACAAGGGTAGATCTAACATTCCATCTCTCATTCACGGGACTGATCTTGTTACCTCTCCCAGGGATAAGGCAGAACTGTTTGCAAAGAACTTTTCTTCTAATTCCACTCTTGAATCTTATAGACATTCTCTTCCTTCCATTCCAGTCAAACAGGTTGACCCATTGTTAGACATTCAAATCACTCCGGCTTCTGTTGCTAAAGTCATATCTCAATTAAACTCGTCTACAGCTTGTGGTCCAGACAACATTCCTGTCACAGTCTTGCAGAATTGTTCTCCAGAACTTTCTTCAATTCTCTCTAAACTATTTAACAAGTGTTTGACTGAGTCTTGTTTTCCTGCTTGTTGGAAAATGGCATCTGTGGTTCCAATCTTCAAAAACTCTGGAGAAAATTCTGATCCCTCCAATTATCGTCCGATCAGTCTTCTTTCTGTTATTAGCAAGGTCTTTGAGTCTTTGATCAACAAATTCCTCACATCTCATCTTGAGTCAAATAAACTGCTGTCAGACAATCAATACGGTTTTCGATCCTCTCGCTCTACGGCCGACTTGCTAACTGCTGTAATATTTTATCGTGCATTAGATGGAGGCGGTGAGGCTAGGGCTATTGCTCTCGACATATCAAAAGCTTTCGACAAAGTTTGGCATGCTGGTCTTCTCCATAAGCTTGCTTCATATGGTGTTTCTGGGAAAGTTTTTGAGATTATTAAATCATTTCTTTCTGACCGATTTATTAAAGTCATCCTTGAAGGCCAACACTCTTCTTTATTTCCAGTAACTTCTGGGGTTCCCCAAGGTTCCATCCTGGGCCCTGTTTTGTTTCTTATCTACATAAACGATCTTCCTGACAACCTTTCATCTAAAGTAGCTCTTTTTGCTGATAACTCAACTTTATACTCCTGTCTTGACAAAAAGTCTTCTCTTTTCGATCGCCTAGATCAAGCAGCTGATCTTGATCCCGATCTCACTTCAGTAATAGATTGGGGTTCACAGTGGCTTGTGAATTTCAACTCTAAAAAAACCCAATTGCTTACTGCAAACAACTACCGTAGTATGGTCAACATTCCTAAATTAATGAATGGCAATTCTCTTACTGAGTCATCCTCTTTACGTCTTCTTGGATTATCGCTTACTACTGACCTTTCATGGAAACCATATATACAATCGATTGCTAAATTAGCTTCTGCTAAGGTTGCTTCTCTTTATCGTGCTTGTCATTTCATTACTTCTGATTCCATTCTCTACCTCTACAAATCTCTTATTCGTCCCTGTATGGAATACTGTTGTCATATTTGGGCTGGTTCTTCTAACGATTCACTTTCTCTTCTTGACAAGGTCCAAAAACGCATTGTAAATGTTGTTGGACCTGGACTATCTACTAAGCTTGAACCTCTTTCCCATCGTCGTAAAGTTGCATCTCTTTCTCTTTTCTACAGATACTATCATGGTCACTGCTCAAAGGAGTTATCTCTAGTTCCATCAACTAAAATTCATTCTCGTTTTACTCGTCATTCAGCTAAGTCTCATTCGTTTACTGTATCTGTCCCAGCATGCTCTAAAAACTTTTATTCATCTAGTTTTTTTCCCCGCACTTCAATCCTTTGGAACTCTCTCCCATCTTCATGTTTTCCTTACTAATACAACCTTCAACTTTTCAAGTCTTCTGTCAACCGTTTCCTTGCTCTATAACTCTGTTCTTTTTTTTCCTAGTAACTCCCAACTTAATAGTGGTTGCTTGCAGCCTTGTTGGGAGTGAATGCAAATAAAAAAAAAAAAAAAAAAAAAAAATGTGGCTCTAGTGACAATCCATAAAAAGAAAAGGAAAAAATAAACTATAAAAAACTAACCAATACAACTGTTGTTTTCCAATATCCACCCAAACTTGCAAGTACAATTGTAACTTCCGTTAGTATTCACACAATCACTGTTAGTCAAGTTGCAATATTTATCCAACTCATTGCATTCATTAACATCTGAAAAGACATAAAAAATAATATTTGAAAAAACTTATTTCTGAGAATGTCATTTAAGACAACATATATATAAGTAGAACGAAAAAAATTATTACCTGACAATGTGGTAATAATGTCTATCAATAAAAATAAAAGAGGAAAACAAATTATAAAAATTTTACAAACAACTGACCAACACAACTGCTGTTTTCCAATATCCACCCAGACTTGCATGTACAATTGTAACTTCCATTAGTGTTCACACAATCACTGTGAGTCAAGTTGCAATATTTATCCATCTCGTTGCATTCATTGACATCTGAAAAGAAATATAAAGCAATATTTAAAAACAATATATTTCTAAGAATGCTATCCAAGACAACATATATGGGTAGAAGAAAAAAAATTATTATCTGATTAAACGGGATTAATGACTATCTATAAAAATAAATGGGGAAAGCAAATAACAAAAAGATTACAAACAACTGACCAACACAACTGTTGTTTTCTAATATCCACCCAGACTTGTAAGTACAATTGTAACTTCCATTAGAGTTCACACAATCACTGTTAGCCAAGTTGCAATATTTATCCAACTCATTGCATTCATTAACATCTGAAAACAAATATAAAGGAATATTTGAAAAAACTTATTTTTGAGAATGTCATTTAAGACAACATATATATATGAGTAGAACAAGAAATATTATTCCCTGACAATGTGGTACTAATGTCTATCCATAAAATTAAAATGGGAAAATAAATTATAAAAACTTTACAAACAACTGACCAACACAACTGCTGTTTTCCAACATCCACTCAGACTTGCAAGTACAATTGTACCTTCCATTAGTGTTCACACAATCACTGTTAGTCAAGTTGCAATATTTATCCAACTCATTGCATTCATTGACATCTGAAAACAAATATAAAGTAATTAAAAAAAAAATTAATTTCTGAGAATGTCATTAAAGGCAACATATATATGGGTAAAACAAAAAAAATAATTACCTGATAATGTGATACTAATGACTATCCATAAAAAAAGAGGAAAATGAATTATGAAAACATTACAAACAACTAACCAACACAACTGTTGTTTTTCAATATCCAGCCTAACTTGCTTGTACAATTGTAACTTCCATTAGTGTTAACACAATCAGTGTTAGCGAAGTTGCAATATTTCTCTAACTCATTGCATTCATTAACATCTGAAAACAATCATTATATATTATTGCTGAACTTAGTACTGTTGTTACCCATTTGTGCATGTTTTAGCATGCTTGGCCTTGTAATTTCTCTATATATTATTGACCACATGATCAGGTATTTTTAAATCTTTATCATCTGTTAATATCTGCTTAATCAGTTATAAGATCGAAAATTTTTTTAATTTTTAACTTCTGTATTAATGGATAAACCTCATGCTATTTTTAAATTAGTATAGAAGCTTTTCAAGTCAGATAATTTATTTAATTCATGCATTTTAATAATAACACAATTCAAGTCCTTTGTAAATTGTATTAAAAGTTTATTAATCTGTAATTTTTATTTTTAAAAATTAGAAGATGATGACTCAAGAAAACGATGCTCTTTTCAATGGTCAAAAAGTCAAACTCTTAATAAAGTTGGTATTTATCTCTAAAATCATCTCACACAGCTAATTATATGTTGCATGTTCAAGAACAAGATCGTTTAATACCTTATTTACCTTATTTTATAAAAATTACAGAAAATTTGTTTGCTTTTATTATATTAAAAACCTGATCGTTTTAATTGTTTGTTTTTTAAAGTTAATAAACATTCATTGTTTTTAAGTCAATAAACATTCAAATATTACAAAAAAAGGTTGTATTGGCAAATGTTTCTAATTTATATATATTTTTTAATTTATATATTTAATAATTTTAATGTGTTATTTATTATGTTTATATGTGTTAAGGTTATATGGATTTGTGTGCGTGTTTATATCTTATATATATGAAGTGGTTCTATGTAACACAGTATGTTTGTGATGTGTTATAATTTTAAGTGTATATAGTTTGTATGTGGTTATTATGTTGATCTTGCTAGCCAAGTGGTGTACATGCTATAATGTGGCTTTGTTGAGAGCAATAATGTTGTCTGTGCCAGTATAGTGGTGTACTGTCATGATGAAACACAAATTAAATGTGTATGTAGTTAGAGTATTCATAAAATGTGTAAAAGATATATAGAGCTAAACAGGGTCAAACCGCTCACTTATCAATAAAAATTAAAAATTAAAATAAAAGTTTTTTATTTTTATTTTTTTTTATTAGGTAATAAAAAGCTACATAAGATAATATAAATATATGTTTATTATTTTCTTGTCAATAAATTAAAAATATAAAAATGTAAATAATTTTTTTGTTTGAACATAACCCTAGAGTAAACTTTTTGACTCAAATTAAACAATGTTTGAAATAAATGTTAGCTTGTTTTTAAAATTTTTTATCATTAAAGAAAAAAAAAAAAATTTTAATTTTGTTTTAAAAATTGTTTTAAAGACCTTTTAATGGTTTTAATAAGTTCAATTTGGAATTAGTATAATCACACAGAAAGGAGAGATATAGCCAAATGTAAACAATGCGCAGGTGGAAGTGCTAGTGGTTTACATGCCCATCAAAAGAGTCAACATAAAATTAATACGTTAAAAAGAAGTATAAAGAACGTGTAAAAAAACCGGCAGTTGCAATAGCATCGAAAATTACTTCTTTTATCAAAAAAAAGAGACGAATCTCTTGAAGCTGTATTTTCAAGAATGATTGCACAAGATGGCATTCCTTTCAATAAATTTTGTACATCTGAAGATTTATAGATGTTACTAAAAACAAAAGGGTACATAGAGTTACCAAAATTGCCCAAAACCATTCACAAAAAAGTAATGGATTATGTCGATAAAATAAGGAAAGAAGTTTTAAAGAAAATTTCACAGAACAAGCTCATTAAAAAAGCTTATAGCCTTTACACACATGAATGAACATCAAATAAAAACCGCCGGTATATAAATATTATTATTCATGGAAATGATGGTAATTTTTAAAATCTTGGATTGACTCCGGTTCATGAATCCGTAACTGCTGAGGTATGCGCAGAACTAATCGAAAAGAAGCTTAAAGAGTTTAATATAGCTTTCTCAAATATTGTGTGCATAATGTTAAACGGAGCTGCCATTAAAAAGAAAATGCTAAAGTTACTTGATAATAACATCATTTATTTATCGTATGTGGCGTACAATTGGCAATCATAAAAAAACTTTATTTTATTAGTTCAACAGATGTACAAGATGTTAATGATGGTAATGTATTATTTGATGTTGACTTTGATTCTGATTATTTGGTCATTGAACTTAAAAATTTTGAAGTAGACCACAAAGATATGGACACTACCCAATAGAGCTAAATTCTTTAATTAAAAAAATTCGGAAAGTTGTAAAACTTTTCAGAAAATCACCAACAAAAAATGATAAACTACTGCACAAATATGTTTAAAAAACTGTGGGAAAAGAACTTTCTTTAATTTTAGACTGTAAAACTAGATGGAGTAGTTTATTAAGTATGCTGGAAAGATTTTTAAAACTTTATGACATTGTTCGAAAAAGTCTGATAGATTTAAAAATTGACATTGATTTTAATGAAGTAAAATTACTTTTAAATAAAACGTCAAGCTTACAAATCTATTAAGTTGGCTGTTCAAACACTCTGCACTGAAAAGCTTAACTTTTATGTAGACAAGTTAAGTAACCAAAACACTTTTTTAAGTATTGCACCAAAAAATAAATTAATAAGTTCTATTAAAGAAAGAAGAATGAAGTTTTCAGACGCGGAATCTGGTGAGAGTATTGAAAGACACCTAAATGAATCAGATTCAGATTTAAATAACAACCTCATTACTGTTAAACCAAATGCTGATTTTTCAATGAAGGAAAAACTTTTTCTTAAAAAACAAACGGACAGTAACACAAAAATTCTAAAAGAAATTATAAAAAAAGAATTAGAGTATTTTCGATAAGAAAATATATGAGTGAAGTGCATTCAAATGTTTTTGACTACTTGATGACCATTTGTTCAACAATTGTTCAACAAAGAGTATTTTCAGGAGCTGGACTAATTTGTACAAAAATTAGGTCTCAATTAAGAAACAAGACATTGGATAGTTTAAGCTTTCTACAAAGCTACTTTTAAAAAAATGATATTTAATAAAAATGGTATCATAGAAATTGTATTGTTTTATTGAAATAAAAAGTTTATTGGTAATATACCGATTTACCGGAATTCCAATTTTCATTTACCAAATTACCAGTAAATAAAAAAGTCGGTAAATTTACAAACCCTAGTGGTAGTGAACCGCTTTCAAGAACTAAAAATAGTAGATATATGTTTTGAAATTTGAAAGCTAGCTTTCTTAAATACTCTCAAATGTAATTTGTCTAAGCCAAATCATGATATGCCATATTCTTTATATGATTTAGATGTTTTTGATTAAGGAGGTATATTTCCATAATTTCTAGACTTAGATCAATATTGTTTGAAAGTATATTTTAATTTTGACAATTTAGGCCAACCGGTTATATTTCTATTCTTTTTTTGCTTGAAAAAGTAGTAACAAAATATTCTTTAAATAGTTGAGCTTTATCTAGATTCGATGTTGCAACTTTGTTATTGTAGTGGATGTCTATGAATGTAATTTTGTTTTTTCTTTTTGATTTGACATAAGAGTTAAAAGCTTTTGGATTTTGGTCAATGTTATAAGCAAATTTTTTATCGAATACGATAATTGTTTTTCAGCATGCTGTTTTGGTTTTGTTTTGTGATATGCATTACTCTTTATATGTTATATCACTTCTGTTTGATGATATTGGCAATATTTTGCCTGTTTATTTTGTTATTTCTTTAAGTATTTAATAGTTGATCCATTTTCAGCATTTTATTTTTTTGATATTTGCTTTTGGTATAATGATGTTTGTACTAGTTTTAAGCTTATTATACAAGATATTTCTTAGTTGTTCAGAGTTGGATGTTGAACAGAGTTTAATAGTTGCAAGGTCTGTTTTTGTGTAATTCCCTTACTGTTAGTGAATCTTTATTGTTGTTTTCAGGAAGTACAGCAATAAATTGAATCTTTTAAAGCTTGATCATTAAACCCAGTATAAATCACAGAATTATTTTTCAAGCATATTTATTAGTTCATCAGACAATGATCTGAATAGTAAACACTTTTACTAGCATAATTTTTAGCTCATCAGATAAATTTGATATGAAAATGGGCAAATAGGGGCATTTATAAAGACAATTTATAAAGAAGATAATCTCAATATGATCATCTGACAATGATTATACTGAAGAATTGCCTTGAAAAAGAGTCAGTAAGAGATATTAGATTTAAAAAATTAAATAAATACTGTAGAAGTTTAATATTTAATCAGATAAACTTTTAATATTTTTAATTAGGCATAAGCTATGTATAATGGTCCGAAACATGCAGGTAGACTTCTTGTTTAAATTATAAGCAAATATAAGACATCAGTGCCAAAAGCAAATACAGTGAAAAAGGAAACAATAGAAATTGTAAATTAATATTTAAAAAATATATTTATTTACAGATAAAAAAAAATGAAGTTCATAAAAAAAGAGAATTTTCTCTGTATAATTTTACCATAGTATATTTCTCGCTGCCTGCTTCTTGTATATAGATACATACATACATACATGCACACAAACACACACAAAACAAAATGGTTACTAAAAATGCATAACTAATATCTTTTTTGAACAAAACCGCATTTTTCCATTTAAAGACATTTCTGGTAATAAATAAATTTTTATCCATGAAAATAAAATTTTAAAAATTTTACAAAGCAAGTAGTCATCAGTTGAATCTGCATTTAGTTATTACATCTAATAATTACAAAGTTACATTTTAAATTCTAACTAATTCTTCAAATCAAGTAACCACCAAATGAAATACTTTCAGTAAATCTCAAATCATAATAAAAAAAAAAAAAAACTTAAAACTCATTTTGGGGAAATGTATTTTAAGAAAAAAGTGTTTCAATATTGCAAGTAATATTAGACCTTATATTCCATATGTTTATATGTATATCAACTTGTTTTACTCTGCGCAGCGACCTTGTTTGTTAAGGTTCGTGTTTCAGAGTTATAGAGTTGAGAGAGGGTTATAACCACAAGTAGCCTCCTTATCTGTAGTGGCCTTCTCAGTCCTGGGAAGGTAAATTACAAAAAAAAAAAAAAAAAAAGTTAAAATCTGTACATTTTTAAACATATATAGTTTTAAACATATAACTATGAATAAATGCATTAAAGAAATTATTGATTTGCACTCATTCAACATACATGCAAAAGCATAAAAAGGTGTTAAGGGCACTTAAGACAACTTTAAAGCATGTAACACTTAACAGTGAAAAACCCAGCGTTTATTAGGAAATACCACTTTTTTCTGGCAATGTTGAGGGGAGGGGAGGGGAAGTGATGTTTTTGAGTTCCTCCTCCTCCTTTTCCCATAGTTTAACTGGTGCCACAACTATGAATTTTAATCATCATTTTTTCAATCATTAATTTAATCATATGTGTTTATCTTGTTTACTTTAATCATATGTGTTTATCTTGTTTAAAGATAAATCATATGTGTTTATCTTGTTTACTTTAATCATATGTGTTTATTTAATCATATGTGTTTATCTTGTTTAAAGTAACATCGTCCAGAGGACGATGTTACTTTAAATACGATAAGAAAGTTATTCAACTTTAATAAACGCTTTTATTGCAAATACTACACTATTAGTAAATAATTATTGAAAATTATTAACTATATTTTAGTAAATTTAATTTTAGTAGTTATTAATCTTTTGAACAGGGCTGTCCCAAATAGATTTAAAAGGTAGGGGGAAGGGGAAGGGGGAGAGGGGGTTGTGAAAAAAAAAGGTCCTCGTTTTTCAACAATAACATGGAATTTGTACAATAATGCGGAATCTGGTGAGAGTATTTAAAGACACCTAAATGAATCAGATTCGGATATAAATAACAACCTCATTTTTACTAATAAAATTGGTAGGGAGGCTAGACACCCCCTTACGTCTCCCTCCAGAGAACCCTGGTTTTAAATAATTAGTATTTAAATGCTTAAACACTTTGAACAATTTTTAATCAATATTTACATTACATAATAGATATACATAAATTAAATCGCATAATATTTGCAAAATTAAGAAAATAGTTTTATGTCTTGTATTCAAATTAAAAACATAAGCATTTAATAAACAAATTCAGTAAGCATTTAATAAATGTATTTAATAAACTATTCGAATAAAAAACATAAGCATTTAAAAAACACATTCACTATTATTTTAATTTTAAAATTTTGCTTTAAATCAGAGTTGGCCTTGGCTTTGCCTTAGGGCAAAAAAATGAGGCCTTGGCCTTGGTCTTGAAACTGTTGGCCTTGACCTTGGCCTTGATTGTTTTGGTCTTGGCCTTAAAAAATATATATATTTTCTTTTTGATTTCATTGAATTCTGCTCATAATCTTGGTCTATTTTTAAAAAATATGGTTTTATTGTCACAGCACTTGCTACTTACAGTTTTGTTAATAATTGATCTTAATGTAAAGCAATAATTAAAGTCTTTGGTCTTGAAAATGTTTGCAATGTTTCCCAAAAAAATAAAAGTTAACTTTGCTCTGAATGGATATTTTAAAATCTATCTTTGGAAAAAGTAAATTTTTTATATATTCCATTGTTATAAAATTTTGCAACAAGTTTTTAATTTTGTTTCAACAAAGTTTTGTAATGAATATCATTTTTTTAAAACATTAAGTTAGCAACCAAAGGACAGTTATGTAATAACATAAAAAAGGAATTTCTTTTTAATTCATTTTATTGTCGTGAAAAAAAAATGAGGTATAAAAAAATAAAGTAAAAATTATTTATATACTACAGCATTAAAAACTTAATTTTTTTTTTGTATTTATCATAAAAAAAAAAAAAAATAAAAACTATAAAATAAAAATATTTTTTGGGTGTCTTTTTTGAAAAAATATTCTCTGCTATCTTGAATTAAATCAAAAATTATTAATTAGACTAAAATTTAATCAAAGTAAAATCAGGTGTAAATAGAAATAAATAAATGTATGATTATACATGTGTTATTTTTTTTAACATAGATACAACTTTACCATATCTTATTTTACTGTATACCCTAAAGTTATTACTATCAAAATTTAATTATCTAATGTAGAGGGCCTAGTGACTAACCGTAAAATAAAATGCTAAAAATAATGTGATTAAACAAAATTCAAAAACATTACAAAAAACTGACCAACACAACTGTTGTTATTCAATCTCCATCCAGATTTGCAAGTGCAATAGTAACTTCCATTGGTGTTCACACAATCACTATTTTCCCAGTTACAGTCATCAGACAAGTTTACGCATTCATCAATATCTGGAAACAATTGTAAAGTAACATTTAAAACAACTTTAATTTGAATATGACAATTATAAAAGTCATATAAATTATGGGAACAGCATGTTACAACATCAACCATTTAAACTTAAAACAAAATCTAAACTTGTGTATGTTAATACATATGTCAAATGATGACCAAAACTTGAAAAAATATTTGTGATCTAAAGTTTTAGCCCTTTAATGTGAGGGCAATCAGTTTAATAAACTTTTTTATTACTGCTTTGAACTAGGTTTATTTTTAATTTTAAAATTTATTGCTTGCAATACCCATGAACACAAAACATAAATTTCAAACATTGATTAAAAGGATTCTCCAATTTATACCTTTAACAAACAATTTTAGTAACTCTCCTAAAATTGATAACGAGCTATTAAATAAAAGAGTAAACAAAGCTGGTTGTCAATATTCTTATGATGCTTGTTGAAACCTAAAAGTTGAAATTCTTCTTTTATTTGGGGATAAGGTAACCTTTAAAGGTAGTCCAAATTGTTCTTTTCCATATTGTATTGGCCAGGTATTTGATATCTTATTACTGCTCACATGAAATATTTTATCTCTATAAGGTACTATACAATATAAAAGTTTGCTTTATAATGTAGCAGCGTCTTTATATTCAGCACATCAGTTTAAATTTTTTTTACTGTAGATTACTAAATTCTTAAAACAATGGCGCACTATGCGTCACGAAGCGGAAATAGTATTTTACTTAATTTTCTGAAAAATTCAATTTTAATAATTTATATATTTTTTAACCAAAACAAGTTAGCATTAGTTAATAAACAAATATTTATTTTAAATTTTTTTTTAAATTTGCCTTTTTAAGTGCGAGATTTTCACGGATAAAAAAAATCAGGGTTTTTACTAAATCTTTATATTACATACAATAATTTCCAAATTTCCTTAATTTTTTTGCGTATTTTCAAATAAATGATACATTTTGTAAATTAAAAACCAAGAAAAGAAAAAAAAAATGTTTGGATTATTTTTTTTTATGTGTCTGTAATTTTTGATTAATTAGACCATATTACTTTATTTATTATAAATGATACATTTTGTAAATTAAAAACCAAGAAAAGAAAAAAAAAATGTTTGGATTATTTTTTTTTATGTGTTTGTAATTTTTGATTAATTAGACCATATTACTTTATTTATTATAAACTTTCTACGATAAATACTTTTTAAAAGTGAAATAATATTCTGGCTACCTCTGTAGTAACATGGTATTATATCAATTCATTGTAGTGGGTTTTATTAAAAACCAGTTAGTTAATAAGTATAAAAAACAACACTAGATGCAGAGCGGTACATTTGTTCCTTGTCTTTAAGTTATAACTTCTAAGTTAAGCGTGGTTTAATGTTTTAAAATGGTTACTTTTAATCTCAGTAAACTTTTGTTTGATGTTTTTCCTCCAAGGCATATTTTTACATGTAAAAATTTATTTGCATGTGCTTTATTTTTGCAGTCCATGAAATACCTTCAGTATTCAAGGGAAATGCAATAAGTCCAATATACATTTCGAGATGTTGAACAAATAAGTTTTTGCATAATAATAAAAACAATAAGTTTTTGTGTAATAGCTGAAATAAAAAATCTTAATAACTTATTAATAATTTATTTATTAAATTTGTGTGATATATATATATATATATATATATATATATATATATATATATATATATATATATATATATATATATATATATATATATATATATATATATATATATATATATATATATATATATATATATATATAGACACACACACAAACAAAATCTTTTATCTAATGAAACTCAAGAGTTTCAATGAGGTTTATAATTAGTAAGTCAAAAATCAAATTGAAATTTGTTACTTGCTTAGTTGTTATAAAATTGCTAAATTGCTTTTTAGAGATATATAATATTTGCCTTCCATTTTTTTTAAAATACTTTGAAAAAAAATATCACATTGGAATGATCCAGGATTAGCAACAGAAACAAAAAAATTATATAAAGTATTTTTATATTTAATTTATGATATGCTAATTATTTAATCAAACAAATAATCGAATTAAACAAATCTTTACCTTAACATTGAGGGAAAAAAATTTTCATTAATGATCCTCGCTATATCACTGGCTATAAAAAACATTAGTGCAGTTTCTATTTAATTAAATTCAAAATAATTATAAGCAAGCAATAAAAATTTGCAAATTCTTTTAAATTTTATATACTTGCTTTAATATGGTGTATAAAGGAATGTCTCGAAATTATTGAATTGTTTCAAACTAACTGCAGTATTAAAGTTGTCTTTGATGGATAACACTCTTATTCAGAACAAGTGACTTCAAAAGTACAACAAGGACAATAGATCTATAAAAACAGATAATAGCATCTGCTAACTCTTTCAGCGCCGCAGTAAGTTCTCGAATTACTGGCAGAACAGAAAAAACTGAAAAATGAAAAATATGTCGAATTGAATTAGTTATAACTACTTTTCATATATTTCATCTGTATACACATGTAATATGTCATTAGAAAGATTTTTTATTTTTTATCAAAATAACTTACCGGTTTTTGAAAATATTATTTGATTAAAAGATACTGAGAAATCTTAAACTGAAATATTGAAAACTTTACATACATACATATAAACATACAAATTTAAACATAGTAAGAAGCTGAATATATTAGATTTCCATTATGACAAGATGATGACAATAAAACAACAAGTTTTAACTATTTAAACCAATTTTCTTTTTTTGTTAAACTACCAAATTTTATAAAAAACTTTAAAACATTTTCTAGAATGAATGTGTATATTGCATGTACTACACTTGAAATTTGTCCTTTTTCTTGTTATTAGAGTACTAAAAGTAGCACCATTTTGATTATTTGCATGCTGTTCCACAATATGTATGTCCTGATTTGTTCTAGTCACCGTTACATTAGGCTTCCGTCTTTATGAAACTTATGGTCTGAGGGAATAACTTCATCTGTCTCAATAAGTTATTTTATAAGCATCATTTTAAATTTTAACAGAGATGATGATTCAGTATCAGCTTGTCGTCATATGCAATAAAGTATGTATACATTAATTCAAGATACTTCAAAGAACCATATAAACAAAGGTTTCCACCATTTTAAAGTATATCGATTAAAGCTATTACACTAGGATATCATTTGATACAGTCCCACACATTCATTGAACTAATATATTCATTAATATTAGTAGGTGTTTTGGTTAAATTACCATGTTTATTTACAACATCACTTTCTTTAATATTGCAATAAGTTGATACAATGGCTATTTTGCCTTTTTATCTTTCCACAAACAAAGCAATATTCCTTTTTGGCATTGATAATAAATGAACTAGTTTGCATCATTTTAGTGCTGGCATTATCATTTATTAAACAACTAAATTTTCTTTAGTTGTTTTAATAAATTTAAACACCTAATTCAAACAAAGTAAACTATGAATCAAGAGCAGTCAAATTTTAAATCTGCATGAACTCCTGGAGTTCTTTTAGAAATGAACCAGTACTCATGTATCATTGTTAAAGTCAACTTGATGCCATTTGTATAAGTTTTTTTCATTCTTAATTTTATCAGTCTTCCTACTTTTTGCAACAGTAACTTGATTGGATGCTATATTATTATCTGAAAAAACAAGTTAAAAAAAGTGAAACTATTTTATAATATATATATATAAAATTTTATAATAAAATTTTTCATACCTATTTTTTCATTGGAATTTTATATTGTAGTTGTTACTGTTTTTGTATCATTAGCTTGATTATCAGATTCATAACCCTAAATGTCCTTTTCACTAAATTATTCATCAAAATTACAAGTTGCATTATCTTTCTGAAGTCTATTTAAAATAGTTTTGACAGCAACCTCATGAATCAATTAGAAAATTTACCTCCCTTGAATCTAAAAATGGTTTTTATAATTGTTTTTCTAAAAGCAGTGAATTGCTGGTTATTAAAAACAAGAGTCAAGTCAGTAACAACAGCGTTGAATAAGCTGAAACTGAATTTATTGCACTACCATTTTCTTACAACTGATATCATGTTCTATAGATCTCTTATTTTGATATGTATGGAAAACTGTTGTCACTTTTTGGATTGTTCTTTTTATAAGGCCTTCTCTTTTTTAGACATTTTTCTAAAATTTTATTTTGAATGTTGTTAGATTTGCTACTTTAGCTACTAAGCATGAGCTGCTGCCGATTGTGGTAAGGTTGCATTTTTTTTCTTTTGATATTTTAAAAACAGGATTTTTCAAAATTGCTCACTAAAAAGGTTATGTAAGATAAAAAAGATAATCTTTCTTAATACTTAATCTTAATCATGTATTAAATTTTTTTTTTTTTTTTAGGAGAGTTATTAGTGTTAAAAAAAGCTTTTTTTAAGGAGAGTTATTAGTGTAAAAAAGTAAGAGCATTCAAAAAACATTCAAAAAACATTTGATTAATAGTTCCACATTAAGATTCAAATATTGAGTGTAGGAACGACCATATACTTTTTATATTTATCAAAAATGAATTAAAAAAACACTGTTGAATTAGTCAATGAGTATTTTGGCTTTAACATATTTTAAACCACAAATAATATCTACAGTCTTGCAAATATAGCCAAAAAATGGACTCTATAAAAGCAATTCTAAAAAATTTTTTGTCTTTTAAAATGAGCTTTTTGTTTTTCATAGACCAGTGGATACAATAATACAGTCATTAGAGACTACCTCTAGTAATACCGATTACCTTAGTAAAACAGTTTCAACATTGTCAAAATATGTAAAAGTATTATCTCTAAAAAGTAGCGATCCTTTATCTTCCACAAATTATATTTTAGACTTGCAAAATAGGTACAAGTGATGTGACTTGCAAAAAAGTTTTATGATAGATGGTTCCAGCTAGAGTTATTAGTACTTTACTTTGGCCTTGCCTTAAGTCCCAAAATTGAGGCCTTGATTATTTTGCCTTGACCTTGAAAAAAAAAAACATTTTTTTTTGACTTC